GAATAAGACAACAAAAAATAAATTTTTAAACCACAAAGAAATCCACATGTATATTAGAGAAGCCAAAAGTCGACATGGCTAATTCAGAATTCAAAATCATGGATATAAAAGTAGATAGAGAACCCGAAATAGACAGCGACCATTACATGGCAGTAGCTAAGATATGAGAGGAAATAAAAAAGGAGAAAAGGCCTTATACAAAAAAACAACAAGCGTTTTTGATTAAAAATAATTTAAAAAGGATTTGCAACAAGGAGAAATTCCACCAAATGACCTCCAAGATCATCAAAGTCTCGGATATCAGGTGACACCTACAAAGAACCTTATCCTTCTCACTCTCACAGCTCTTCACCCCGCTAGCCAGTGGTTAAAAGAACAGAATAAGGAACATTCTATTAAAATGAAAATCTACTGGTAGAGGAGGAAAACTTGGCCATTATAAAGATAAAACAATCTTTATGCAAAGCACCATAGGGGTCCCTAGTAGGCCCAAACGGCAGGAGAAAGGCTTAAATAAAATATAAATATACAGTTTCTCCAAAAAATTATCGCACCTCTTCAATAAATCAATTTTATTTGTAAACAGGCAAAGAATAAAAAATAAAACTTCACCAGATTTATTCTACATTTTATTGGTAATTATAATAATTTGTCTAATCATCAGAAAATGTTCAGAAGAAAAAAAAAAACGAAAAATTCTAAAAAAATAATGATAAGAAAAATAAACTAAATATAAAAAAAGTCTTAATAACGAATGTTTTCACCTCTACTATATATAACAGCCTCACATCATTGGTCCATACTTAAAATTAATTGCCTTATTTTCATTTTGGTCTAGTTCGCTCCAAATCTGGATCAGTCTCTCTCCCACTTCCTGTAAGTTGTTTGATTGGATCGATGTCGCTCCTAATCGCCTACCAAGGACATCCAAGAGATTTTCAATCAGATTTAAATCTGGACTATGTGCTGGTCATTCCATAGTGTTAATTTCTACCTCTTCTAGATAATTTCTGACGATCTGTGGAGCGTGATGTCTGGCATTATCTTGCATTAGTAAGAAATTTTTACCGATACAAGGAGCGAATGGTACTACATGTTGCTTCAGGATCTTCAATATGTACCTTTCAGCTGTAACAGTTCCATTTTATATAACCACTAGGTCCATACGTGAGGTCAACGGAATACCACCCCACACCATAACGGATCCTCCACCAAAAAATGTGGTGTGTAAGAAGTTACACTGAGCATTTATCGTTCGTTGGGTCGTCGCAACACACGAACACGTCTGTTGTTATTGTACAAACAAAATCGGGATTCATCAGTATATGCCACTCGTTTCCAGTTAGTCTCAAACCAATTAACGTGTTCTCTGGCAAAATGTAGTCTCCCTCTTCGATGCTCTGCAGTTATTAGAGGACTTAGGGCTTCTAGGTGCTACGTTGTATGTTGTATTTCCTAAGTCTCGAAGCTTAATTTGTAGACTTCCATGTGTTACAAAACGTTGTCGAAAAGCAGAAATTCTTAAAAATTGATCTTGAATAGGGGTAGTTCTCGGTTTCGCCTTGTCGTGGTCTGTGAGTATGATCCCCTGTTTCGAGGAACCTTTCTAACACCCGTAAAAACGGATGTGTGGGACACATTAAACCGACGACCAATTCTTTGTAGCTCCAACCTTCTTCCGTACAGTATCTCTGCTTGGGCACATTCATCTCGGGTTAAATTACGTGATTGACGCTCCATAATAAACACAATTAACAATAATCAACAATTAAACAGTAGCCGAATAAAATGCGTAAACACTTGGAAATTAGGATATTTATAGAACTAGTACATTTTTTGCTTATTTTTGTTTTGTTGCAAAAAAATATAGTGATAAAACACAGTCAATAAATATAAAGTGTACGAAAAGCATATACAAGTGGCTTGCAAAATATAACATTACAATGGGAATTTTTATTAACGCTAATATTTTAATATTTCAAAGTGGTGCGTTAATTTCTTTTAGAAGTGTATATACACAAAAAAAATTATACTTACCCCTGTATTGGCAAAATATACAAGAGAAAAAACTACTAATTTTAGGTGCTTCATTGCTGAATTTGAAACAGAAGAGACATAAATTTTTTGGGGCAAATCCGCTTTATATTTTTTTAAAGTTCTATCAAAGTAAATTTAAATATAGATAAGTAAATAAGGCGATATTCATGTAACTTTTAATATATTAAATTATATTACATGACAATATTTAATCAATAAAATAAACAAATAAATATGTTAACAGCAATACTGTAGAATTAACCTAAATATCAGGTGATATAAATTTTTTTAGAAGTTCTTTAATGTATTTTTATTCAGAGAAAACACTTGAACTTTTCTAATCAAACATTTTTAATTATTGATCAGTCGATGGGTTTGAAGATTGATCTTGAGTTGACATTTCATTCATATTTTAGAAGAAAGGAATTTGGTGATGGAATCCCTGACAACAATAATTTATAATTTAAGGTTGGTTAAAGATCAAAATTAAGAAATACTGGTAGTCAGTAGTAAGGAAAATAAAGGCACCAGTATTTAGCAAACGTACAAAGTTACACGCTAAAATCAAAATTTATAATCCCCCGATAGAAGACTTCAATAAATTTGAATACATCCATACGATTTTACAAATAAAATTTTCTGACAAACTTACTTAAAAAAAAATAAAACAGTTCTTCAGACTTCTGCTGGTAGTCATATTTACCCACTGCCGAGGTGTAAAGGTGGCCACTGCCACTATTAACCTCTTTAAAAAATAATTAAATGCAGAAATCGTAAATGTAAATTTTGCCTTCGAAACTGGTACAGTCTTTGTGTGCCCATTGGCCGCAAATGCTGCATTGGATCCAGAGTTCTCTGTTTTTACCGAATTTGTCACAAATATCTGTGTATCTATGTGCAAATATCTTCATTAACGTCCCTATCACTTCTTCTTCTTAGAAGTGTATCTATGTGCAAATATCTTCGTTAACGTCTCTATCACTTCTTCTTTTTAGGGTGCCTGTCCGTTCCAACGTTGGCGATCATTCTGGCTATGATGATTTTGTTGGTTGCTATAACGAAATAGCTGTGTTGAGGTCTTTCTATACCATGCTCTCTGGTTAGCAAGCCAGGATATTCTTCTTCGTCCTGGGGCTCTTTTTCCTTCAATTTTACCCTGCAAAATGCATTGGAGTAGCTCGTATCTGCCTTGATTTCTCATTATATATCCCAAGTACTCCAGCTCACTGCTCTTCACAATGTTGACCAAATCCGCGGTTGTGTTCATCCTCCGCAGTACTTCTTCATTGGTGACTTTGTCTGTCCATGGTATCTTCAGGATTCTTCTGTATAAGCATAATGCAAACGCCTAAAGTTTCTGCCTTCAATGTCCACGTTTCTACTCCATACAGAAGCACTGAGTACACATAACATTTAAGGAGCTTTATTTTTGTTTTAAGGTGAGGTCATGGCTTTTCAACACAGAGCTCATAGCCAAGAATGCACTTTTGGCCGTTCCGATGCGACATTTAATCTCTTGGGTATTGTCCCACGACTCATTGATTATAGTTCCCAAGTAATTGTATTGTGAGATACGTTCAATTCTCATTTGGTTCACATACAGATTTGCTCCAGTTATGTTTTGCTTGCTGATGATCATTAGCTAAATTTTGCTGGTGTTTATATCCAGTCCATAGGTTCTACTTGTTTGTGTTACTTTGTTCATTAAGTTTTGCAGCCCTTCTATGGTATTGGAAAACACTATTGTATCATCTGCATACCGCAGGTTATTAAGCTTGACTCCATTGATTGGGATGCTTCATCAATATCTTTTAGGGCCTCTTCAAAAATGTGCTCCGAGTACAGATTGAATATCAGTGGTGAAATTATGCACCCCTGTCTCACTCCTCTTAAGATTTTCACCTGTTTGTATATTCTTCATCTATTAGGAGTACCGCTGATTGATTCCAATACAGATTAGCTATCATTTCTAAGTCTCTTCCATCGATCCCTGTCCTCTTCAGCACTTCCATCATTTGTTCATGCCTGACTCTATCGAAAGCCTTCTTGTAGTCAATCAGGCATGCAAAAACATTACAGCTGACATCTCTACATTTCTGAAACAAGATCTGCACGCTAAATAAAGCTTCCCTCGTACCAACGGCGTTCACAAATCCAAACTGATTGGGAGCAATTTGTTCCTCGCATTTTCGGTAAATTCTTTTGTGGATGACCTTTAAAAACAGCTTCAGCAGATGGCTTATTAGGCTTATTGTCCTATAATCTTCACAAACTTTTGCTCCTGGTTTTTTGGGCAATGGTACGAACTCGATTTGAGCCACTCTACTGGTATTTTTCCTGCCTTGTATATTTCATTAAATATATCAGTTATTATTTTTATTTGTTCTGTATCTAATAATTCAGCAGTTCTGCAGGAATTTCATCAAGTCCCGGTGTCCTTCCATCCTTCATTTGTCTGACGGCTGCCGTTATTTCTTCTGGTAGGATTTCGGGACCTGAATTTTCCTCAACGGTGGGCTCTATCACGGTCATCGTCATCATCCTCATCTTAAGATGATATATCTTCTATGATCTTCTGTGTTCTTATACAATTTCTTTTTGGAACTATTCGCGTAAGACTCTACTCTTCGATGGCTATTTTTCGTTTGGTTGCTATGCTGGCTTTGTTTCTAATTTTCTCTTCCTTATTCAGCTGTTTTTCTTCTAGAAGTAACTTCATTGGTGTTGATGTCATTATTTCGGAATATTGCTTCCTGTTGCTTTTGTGGTTGGATCTTTTATTTCCAATTGAGTCATCTTTTGAGCATCCTGGTAGTGGAATTATGTCAACAAAAGACACTTCAAACTTTTTGTGTGTCGAACTTTCTTAATTCCCCTTAACTTCCTTATTATTTTTGTTATTATCTAATCCACTTTATTCTGTTGGTCTAGTTTCTTATCTTCTTCTTGTATGAATGTTTTACCTGGATTAAAGCTTTTATCAGTAGAATTTTCAGGATTATATGGAAATATTTTTCCATTTTTAAACCTTTAATATATGTTGCTTACAGGTAAATTAACTTCAAGCTACGGACGATGGAAACAAATGCACGCTGGAAACACGCGTTTGTTCAGGGCCGGACTAGTAAATTAAAGCTGCAATACAAAACCTTATACAATTTGTAGACGTCTGACAGGTACAGATTATAGTACACCAATTTTTTAAATATAAAAATGATTTACAAAGTCGAGAGTTATTAACAATAAAATGAAGTATACAAAAAAAAGTTTATAAAATTATCGTATTTTATCTTTACTTTCAGAATCTAATGTACTGCTGCCATCATTAAAGTTGGTAATGATAGGCTCAATTTGTGCCTCAATTAAATTGTCCAACTCCCACATTTTTTACTCCACTTCTTCTTTTACATGTTTGACGCAGTTTTTCCATTTTTCCATGGTTACAGCAGACATAGCGTCATGAAATAAATTTTTAATGTCAGCAAATTTAAATGTTGTGTTATGCCATGCTACATAATTCTTGACTTCCGCCCATACAAGCTCGATTGGATTGAGCTCGCAGTGATACGGTGGCAACCTTAAAACTATTCTATTTGTGCTTATTACCAGTTCATCTACTATGTACTTATTATATTCGCCTTTATGTTGTTTAACGATTTCTAAAAATTGCACCTTTAACATCGTTTCTTAAAGGGAATGTCTTTTGAGCGAAGCCAATTTTGAATATCTGCTTTTTTTGTAGCCATAATGGGAATTTTTTCCAATTTTCTGGAATGGTAAGGGGCATTGTCCATTAGAATTATAGCATTTTTTCCAGTGTTGGTAAAATCTTTTGGAGCCAATTTTCAAATGACTTCCCATCCATCTCCTCATGATAGTCTCCACTCTTGCTTAACTCAGAAGCCCACAGTACATCCGAAACAAAACCATTCTCACTTCCGATGTGACAGATTATAAATCGTTTACCTTTTCCTAAAAGTGATATTAAAGATAATAAATAAAAAATTTAAGATTATTAAAAGTTTATTTAAATTACCCGAGGGATTTCTTCAGCCGGTCGACAGCCCATTAAAAAATGCACGATCCACCCAAACTTTTGGTTTTGTATGGCCAGCATTTATCCATGTTTCGTCTAAGTAATAAGCTTCCAGCTCTATATTTTCCTATCTTATGCAAATAATTTCTTCGCCATAGCACAATTTCATTTTGTCGAGTAGCAAACTGTTTCTTCAACGTTTTGAAATTTAAAATTTAATTTTTGTAAGAGTTTGTAAAACATGGTTCTCCTAAAATTTGGTAAGTCATTATCGTTATTTACATCTCTTAGGACTTTGTCAATTGTAGGAATTTCATTGCGGAAAAAATACTGATGAACCATTCTTCTTATAGCTGACTTATCAAAATCATCTACAGCATCTATTGATTTTGAACGATTTTAATTTGTTTTCGGTGCAGATAATGTATGGGTACTTTTATATTCTTTAATGACATTGAAAACAGTTTTCGACTTTATCTCATCACAAAAAAACTCCAACTTTATCTGCAACCCTTTGTTGAATGTCATAAATTTTTGTTTAGAATGATCCAAAAAATCTAAAACAATATCTGACCGGTTGATTTTTTTTAAATATATAAAAAAAGTATTTTTTAACTCTTTTCGGCACATTGGATTGAAATTTGAACCACCAAATTTTTGCTAGATGTAGTACAGTAGTCCACAAAGTGAATAACTTATTAATCTATTTTATCAAGTTACACCTACGCAAGTGGTTTGTATTACTTATTCCATCTGTCCCTATTAAGTGTTATCTTTAATTGGTAAAATTCCCAATGCGAATGGTTATCTGTTGTTTCTTGAAAAGTGAGGTCATTTTATGTGTGCAATTGAATCTTTCTATGCCCCAAGGGTCCATTGTAGAAAATTTATAAAATCTCGTACCGAAAAGAGTTTTAATTATCAATTAATTATAGTCAGAACAAAATTATATAGGGCACCTCTTGTGTTTCATAATTTTTAACATACTAAATAATTTTTTATCCATTAAACATATCAGTGCAGGTCGATATTATATCGTATCTTATGGCTATTATAAATGCTTTATTATACTTACAGGAATTATTTTAAAGTGGGGAAAAAGTTTGTATCGACTATAATTAAATGTTCTTAAAAATGCTTTGCACTATCCTCACACGAGCTAACGATTACAATCAACCAAACCAACAAACAGCTTTGCACAAAAATTACTGGCCATTTCGCATTCGACAGAAGACGGAGCGGAAAAACCAAGTCCGCACCTGTTAGGGCTAACTGCATAACTTACGATCGTTCGACAATTTGGCCAATAGCAAGGCGTTCGTCACGTGTAGACTCGAATATCACGCGGTGACTTGTGTTGATTCTGTCCGTAAGTTGAAGTTGAATTTACAGGTACTTATGCAGCACATAATGGTTGGTGTTTGACCTCTTTCTACGTTGTAATAAAGCAGATTCTCTTTTGTCCCTTTTCAGCAAGTATTTTTCCGGGTTTTGGACGGTTGTTATGCTTGTCTCGTCTGCATTATATATTTTGGATGCCGAAAATTTATATTTATCCAATATGGATTTTAAATTAGAGAAAAATAGTTTTACTTTAGTTTTGTTAAAAGCAGATATGTGGTTAACACTTGTTGTTTCCGATTTTCTTAATCGAATAGTTGGATTTCTTTTAAGGAAGCCATCAAGTTAGTCTCTTCCAGCAATTTCTTTTTCTTTAGAAAATGAATGATGTAAATTTTTTTCTTCGTCGTATTTATAAGCATTTTTTTTATTTCTGTGGGAATTATCCCATAAAAATGTTTTGATAACTTTATGACCTGCTTTGTCAAAACTTCTTCTTCTTCTTTGGTAAATAGAGAATTACAACTTAAAGAAGCAGCTGTATGTAATATTTTGCTTTAGAAGTTGAATTGTAGATCTGGGAATTGCAAAACTTCTTGCAACTTCACGGACGCTTCTGCCATTATTTACTGCATTTATTGCTGCACTAAGTTGCTCAGCATTCCATCGTGCTTTGTAACTTGTTTTCTTGTAAACTAGAGGCATCTGAAATATAAGAATTATAAAGAAATACTCTGTTTATATAAATACAATTTGGAGATAATAGTAGCCGGCCAGCATTACCTCCAGGCGCGTGACTATTATAACACTAAATTGCATATTTATACTGATCGACTCATAATCATTAATCACTTAAATTAGAGCAAGAACTTTTATTATAGTCTTAAACTACGTTAAAAATTTAACAAATGTATACCAAATATGCAGCTAAATAAACTTAATTACATACTTCTACATAAAAATCTTGCACTAATACACCAACTCAAACAAAATATGACATTTTCAAAAATTCCTTCGTTGCTGGCAAAACATCGTCATTGTTTTATGTACAGTTTGAGCGAAACACTGTTAGATGGCGCAACAGATATTAAATGCGAAATAATCATCATCATCACTGGCTCGACAACCCTTTTTGGGTCTTGGCCTGTTCAAGGATTCTTCTCCATTCTGACCTGTTTCGTGCTTTTTTTTCCAGTTTTTAATTTTTAATGTTGTTATATCATTTTCTATTTGTTCTACGTATCTCAGCTTCGGTCTTCCTCTTGTTCTTTTTCCTACTGGCACTTGTTTGAATATTTTGTTTGGTATTTCGCCTTCTTCCATTCTTTCCACATGTCCAATCCAACGTAGCCTTCCTATTTTAATGAATTTTATGATATCCGGATCCTGGTATATGTTGTATAGTTGAAAGTTATACCTTCTCCGCCAAATCCCGTTTTCTTTTGTGCCCTTATATATGTGTCGCAAGATTTTTCTTTCAAAGGTGGCTAATAACGTTTTCTCCCTTTTAGAGAGTGTCCAGGTTTCTGAACCGTATGTGAGTACCGGTCTTATTAAGGTTTTGTATATTTGGCATTTTGTTTTTCTGGAGACGTTATCTGATCTTAGTTGCCTAATTAAGCCATGGTAACATTTATTGGCAATAAATATTCTCCTCTTCACTTCCTCTGAAATGTTGTTATCAGACGTAACTAGGGATCCTAAGTATGTAAAGTTTTTTACCGCCTCAATGTTGTATTCTCCTATTGTTAAATTTGGCAGCTGCCTTATTTGTGCGTTTTTATTTGCAGGCATATATTTTGTTTTTGTCTGATTGATTTTAAGACCACTATTTTTTGCAGCTCGTTCTATTTGAGTGAATGCCTCTATCATTTCTCTTCTTGATCTTGCGATTATGTCAACATCATCTGCAAATGCTAGTACTTGCACGCTTTTATTAATTATTGTTCCTCGGGTATTAACTGTTGTGTCTCTTATTATTTTTTCAAGTATGATGTTGAATAATATGCATGATAGAGCGTCCCCTGGCGTAGTCCCTTCTTCACATCTATTGTTTCCGTTAATTCGTTTTGTATCCGGATTTTACTTTCTACTTTTAGTGTTTCTTTTATCAATTCTATTAGCTGTGTTGTATATTAAATTCTTTCATTGCTTTTGTTAGGAATTCTCGGTTTATATTGTCATAATGCGCTTTCGAAGTCTATGAAGAGATGATGTGTGTCGATGTTATATTCACTTGTTTTTTCAAGGATCTGTCGCAGAACAAATATCTGGTCTATTGTTGACTTCTGTCTACAGAAGCCACATTGGTATTTGCCAACAACTGGACTTTTTTACACATTCTACAAGCGTGCGTGTTCACATTCACTTTTCCTTTTTATGTAGTGGTACAATAATGCCGCTATTCCACTCCTTTGGTAGCTGTTTATTCAACCATATCTTTCTTATCAGCTCATGTATGGCTTTAAGTAATGCGTCTCCTCCTTCTTTCAGTAGCTCCGATGATATTTGATCCGATCCCGGTGATTTATTGTTCTTTAATTTGTCCACTGCTGTTCTAATCTCTGCTATTGTTGGTGGACTCTTTTCTCTGTTGTCTGCTTGGTCTAATGGTATATCAGGGTTCATCTCCGTCCTATTCAC